AGGTGAATAAACAGAGCGTTATCTCAGTTTTTGATAAAAGAGCATTCAAATTTTCGTTACAACGCATGGTAAAATCGGTCGCATACTGCATACGGCTATAAGAATATGCGCCGGACACTCCGAAGAATTGTACCCTACTCATTTGTCTTGGCTGACTCAACTTGTTCATGCACCAGGAATAATCCCTCTCTAGTGCAGGTGGGCGTTTGAAGACTATCGGATGCAGGTGGCTTAGTCGGCAGGACCATTGTACAAAGCCCGAGATGCGTCCGAGGTCAGATTTAACCATGCGCTTATTTGGCCAGCTTGACTCCACCATCAATCAAGACCGGAAAGACTAAGTATGAGGTAGGGAACTAAAGGGTAAAATTGACCGGTTTAATTTAAGACATATAATTAGTATAGGCATATCGATCTTCCTGATGCCTATCTCACGTTTCTCGAATAGATCGAGGGCAGAAATTGAGTTAAATATGCAGTGAGCTGTACACTTTTTTCATTTCTTGATAGCGGGCTTGCGTGAGAGTTCGAAACGTCGGATAAATAAACCACTGGTTGCAGAGAACGCTTCACCATCTTCTATTCAATTACCTGGGCCTCCCACATTCTCGACCATTCAAAGGATAGATGTTTAATACTGACGGACCAGGAAGATACGCTTACAGTCATTCATCAACAACTGGCGCATTCTTTTCACTTCGTTCTCCCTCAGCGCTAGGACGGATACCACAGGGCAATCACATACGGCTTTCTTTCTCATCCCCGCATTTGGACGAAGGACGCTAGTGGACTGCTCATCCTACAATTACCAGCAATTAGCACTCTCTGAATCAATCCCAAAACAAAAAGAAGACAAATCAAATTAGTTTTAGTGTACTTCGGTAGAACATATTTGCACAAAGTGTAACTACGAAAAGAAACCGAAAAAGGCATATCACAGAAAAGAAGGAGTAATAACTGCTGGAATGAAGGAGAGAGCTTGATTGCAGAAATCAGACACGCATAAACGCAATTATACACAGATGTTGACTGGAAAGGGGGGGAGAGATAACAGGAAACAGATAGAGTAGAGGAGGACATCTTACTGATGCAGCAATTTAGGCGGATCCTTTCTCAGTGACAGCAAGAGCGACCTGAAACGTGTCACATCCTTTGACGGGTTCTGTGAGCATTGAGTGGTGGTGGTGGAGGCTCTGTTGAGCGATATGCTGCCGGCCCCAGACCAGTCGCCGGAATTACCCGCAAGGTCACAGAGTTGACAAATGCGTTCCCAGATGGCCACATCGCTGGGATCGACTTTCGCGAGACTGGTCGACAGCAGGACCACCTTGTCACGAGCAGCCTGCAGTTCCTCCTCGTGCATTCGGTTGTGTTGCCGGGACTTGAGAGTGTTCTTCTGATGCCAGGCCTCCCAGTCCTCTATTTCCTAGAGCCATCATATCAGTATGCATTAAATATGTCCGCGCGAGTAAGTTCAAAAATATATACGCTTAAAAGACAATTAAATATAGAGCAGGAATGGGGTGTTTCGATCACCGGAATCATAATTTTAGCCGTCTGAGTCCATCGTCGGCGATAAAAAGCGTCAACGGAAGACAAGAAAGAGTTAAGGGAGGCAGGGGCCAATCAACCGTCATAGGGAAGGGGGAGAGGAGGGGGACGATCAACCACCAAAGCCGTCAATCTGGCGATGCCTGCGCAGGGCGATGTATGCCGGCACCAGATCGATAAATCGATTGAC